TGGTCTCTCTCTCTGGTCTCTCTCTCTGGTCTCTCTCTGGTCTCTCTCTGGTCTCTCTCTCTCTCTCTGGTCTCTCTCTGGTCTCTCTCTGGTCTCTCTCTCTGGTCTCTCGCACTCTTTCTCTAGCCCCTTGTTCAGGTCTCTCTCTCTCTCTGGTCTGGATCTGTTCCTGGGTCTGGGTCTGGCCTCGGCTGCAGATTGGTGTTTACCGTCTCGCTGGAATCCTCTGGAAAGGAACCTCTCTGTTATTGTGGACACATGTGGAAATGTGCCGCGGGAAAAACTGAGACAAAGGACGAGTGTGTAACAGCAGCAGGGCTTCTGCAGGGACCGGGTTTACTGCCGGACACTCAGGGCTTCTGCAGGGGCCGGGTTTACTGCCGGACACTCAGGGCTTCTGCAGGGGCCGGGTCTACTGCCGGACACTCAGGGCTTCTGCAGGGGCCGGGTTTACTGCTGGACACTCAGGGCTTCTGCAGGGGCCGGGTTTACTGCCGGACACTCAGGGCTTCTGCAGGGGCCGGGTCTACTGCCGGACACTCAGGGCTTCTGCAGGGGCCGGGTCTACTGCCGGACACTCAGGGCTTCTGCAGGGGCCGGGTCTACTGCCGGACACTCAGGGCTTCTGCAGGGGCCGGGTCTACTGCTGGACACTCAGGGCTTCTGCAGGGGCCGGGTCTACTGCCGGACACTCAGGGCTTCTGCAGGGGCCGGGTTTACTGCCGGACACTCAGGGCTTCTGCAGGGGCCGGGTCTACTGCCGGACACTTAGGGCTTCTGCAGGGGCCGGGTCTACTGCCGGACACTCAGGGCTTCTGCAGGGGCCGGGTTTACTGCCGGACACTCAGGGCTTCTGCAGGGGCCGGGTCTACTGCTGGACACTCAGGGCTTCTGCAGGGGCCGGGTCTACTGCTGGACACTCAGGGCTTCTGCAGGGGCCGGGTTTACTGCCGGACACTCAGGGCTTCTGCAGGGGCCGGGTTTACTGCTGGACACTCAGGGCTTCTGCAGGGGCCGGGTTTACTGCCGGACACTCAGGGCTTCTGCAGGGGCCGGGTCTACTGCCGGACACTCAGGGCTTCTGCAGGGGCCGGGTTTACTGCTGGACACTCAGGGCTTCTGCAGGGGCCGGGTTTACTGCCGGACACTCAGGGCTTCTGCAGGGGCCGGGTCTACTGCCGGACACTCAGGGCTTCTGCAGGGGCCGGGTATACTGCCGGACACTCAGGGCTTCTGCAGGGGCCGGGTCTACTGCTGGACACTCAGGGCTTCTGCAGGGGCCGGGTTTACTGCTGGATACTCAGGGCTTCTGCAGGGGCCGGGTTTACTGCCGGACACTCAGGGCTTCTGCAGGGGCCAGGTTTACTGCCGGACACTCAGGGCTTCTGCAGGGGCCGGGTCTACTGCTGGACACTCAGGGCTTCTGCAGGGGCCGGGTCTACTGCCGGACACTCAGGGCTTCTGCAGGGACCGGGTTTACTGCCGGACACTCAGGGCTTCTGCAGGGGCCGGGTTTACTGCCGGACACTCAGGGCTTCTGCAGGGGCCGGGTCTACTGCCGGACACTCAGGGCTTCTGCAGGGGCCGGGTCTACTGCCGGACACTCAGGGCTTCTGCAGGGACCGGGTCTACACTACTGTCTGCTGCTGGACACCTGAGTCTCTCCTACAGGGATCAATAAAGTGTCTGTCCTTCTACACTTGAATGTGTTTTTATGTTTGAGTCTTTGTGTGAAACCGACCACTTCTATCGGCAGCTCCTCCTCTCAGGATCCGAGCAATGACGATGGCTCCAGTGTTATCGTCTCGTCTGATGGTGGCTCCCTGAAAAACAAAGAATTAAAAGTAAAGACCAGAGAGAGACCAGAGAGAGACCAGAGAGACCAGAGAGAGACTAGAGAGAGACCAGAGAGAGACCAGAGAGAGAGACCAGAGAGAGACCAGAGAGACCAGAGAGAGACTAGAGAGAGAGACCAGAGAGAGAGACCAGAGAGAGACCAGAGAGACCAGAGAGAGACTAGAGAGAGAGACCAGAGAGAGGCCAGAGAGAGAGACCAGAGAGAGAGACCAGAGAGAGAGACCAGAGAGAGAGACCAGAGAGAGACCAGAGAGAGAGACCAGAGAGAGACCAGAGAGACCAGAGAGAGAGACCAGAGAGAGACCAGAGAGAGAGACCAGAGAGAGACCAGAGAGAGAGACCAGAGAGAGAGACCAGAGAGAGAGACCAGAGAGAGACCAGAGAGAGAGACCAGAGAGAGAGACCAGAGAGAGAGACCAGAGAGAGAGACCAGAGAGAGACCAGAGAGAGAGACCAGAGAGAGAGAGACCAGAGAGAGACCAGAGAGAGAGACCAGAGAGAGAGACCAGAGAGATCAGAGAAAAATGTCCCATAAAATGGGTCTAAATGTAGTTTAAAACCTTGTCCACTAACAGTAGTGTATTCAGTTGCCATTGATTGAACTTCTTCTTCTCTTGTCGTGGCATAAATACGTCCCGAGTCTAGACAGAGAGATAAATGGAACGAGCCCCAAAACACACAGTCACCGGAGCCTTTCCTGTCTTCCCTCTCGGTCTGTCTGTGCGCTCCGACTGGGCTCGAGCTCCCCATCCCTCATAGGACGCTCTTCAATGATCCATTCTAACCATAAACTCACAAACTCATTCCATCCGCCGTAAAACAAGTCATTCGACACGTGCCAAGCGCTCAAACCTGAGCTGCTTTGAAATACCATGAACCCAGAGCCCACTCCTGGTGAATCCAGACTAAATTAGGGGCGTCTGGTTTGTGGCCTTTCTCTTCTTTGACTCATCCTTCCACCTTGTACCTGCTTTTCTCATCATCTTTCCCCACAATGTTTTCATTTCTGGGGCGAAAAAACAAGGAGGAGACATGGTTAGCATCAACCGCCCGGAGCCCAGAGAGGAGCAGGTCAGAGGCGATGTGATTCTCCCGTTTGTGTGTTTGGAAGGAGGACGTTTTGGGAGAAGAACAAAGGCAGAGCGAGACGAGCTAGCACTTGTTAGCACTTAGCTTGTCCTGACGGCGTTTAATGGTTTTTCTCCAAGATAATGATTTCCTCAAGGCCTTTTATAAGTGCTGCTGTGATAAGCTCTGGTTTGGATTGGAGAGGGATGGGAGACATGCCAGGGAGAGAGACCAGAGGGAGAGAGACCAGAGAGAGAGAGACCAGAGAGAGAGAGACCAGAGAGAGAGAGACCAGAGGGAGAGAGACCAGAGAGAGAGAGACCAGAGAGAGAGAGAGACTAGAGGGAGAGAGACCAGAGAGAGAGAGACCAGAGAGAGAGAGACCAGAGAGAGAGAGACCAGAGGGAGAGAGACCAGAGAGAGAGACCAGAGAGAGAGAGAGACTAGAGGGAGAGAGACCAGAGAGAGAGACCAGAGAGAGAGAGACCAGAGAGAGAGAGACCAGAGAGAGAGAGACCAGAGGGAGAGAGACAAGAGAGAGAGAGAGACCAGAGAGAGAGAGAGAGACCAGAGAGAGAGACCAGAGAGAGAGAGAGACTAGAGGGAGAGACCAGAGGGAGAGAGACCAGAGGGAGAGAGACCAGAGAGAGAGAGAGGGACCGAAACCAGAGAGAGAGAGACCAGAGAGAGAAACCAGAGAGAGAGAAACCAGAGGGAGCGAGACCACAGGGAGAGAGACCAGAGGGAGAGAGACCAGAGGGGGAGAGAGAGAGACCAGAGGGAGAGAGACCAGAGGGAGAGAGAGAGAGACCAGAGGGAGAGAGACCAGAGAGAGAAACCAGAGAGAGAGAGAGACCAGAGGGAGAGGGAGAGAGACCAGAGAGAGAGAGACCAGAGGGAGAGAAACCAGAGAGAGAGAGACCAGAGAGAGAGAGACCAGAGGGAGAAAGACCAGAGGGAGAGAGACCAGGGAGAGAGAGACCAGAGGGAGAGAGAGAGACCAGAGGGAGAGAGACCAGGGAGAGAAACACAAGAGGGAGAAAGACCAGAGAGAGAGAGACCAGAGGGAGAGAGACAAGAGAGAGAGAGACCAGAGGGAGAGACAAGAGAGAGAGACCAGAGGGAGAGAGACCAGAGGGAGAGAGACAAGAGAGAGAAAGAGAGACCAGAGGGAGAGAGCCTGAAGGGAGAAAGACCAGCAGGTGAGTGAGAGGAGAGACCAGAGGGAGAGAAAGAGACAAGAGAGAGAGACCAGAGGGAGAGAGACAAGAGAGAGAGAGAAAGAGAGACCAGAGGGAGAGAAAGAGACAAGAGAGACCAGAGGGAGAGAGACAAGAGAGAGAGAGAGAGAGAGAGACCAGAGGGAGAGAGACCAGAGGGAGTCCAATGAAGCCAAACATCTAAAGCAAACCCACTTGTCTCTATTTGAGATTTGTTCTGGTCTTAATTCATTTCTTTCATTTTTACAGCAGAGAAAATTCCTAATTGTTCGTCTGCACCTGTTTGTCATGTTTAGGCTGATTCTATTTCACTGATGTTTTCCATTTTACAACTGTGTGATTGTTGGTGGGTCTTCAGGTCTTTGTGGGTCCAGACTGGGTCTCAGTGACACAGGTCTGTATCTGGGTCAAACAGAAACTATAAGATCTAAAACATATAATCAACAATCACTCACTTTTCAAAACAACGGTGAGTAACAGTTAGAGTGCTACAGACCTGTCAGATAACACAGACCAGAGGGAGACCAGAGGGAGACCAGAGGGAGACCAGAGGGAGACCAGAGGGAGACCAGAGAGAGGCCGGAGAGAGACCAGAGAGAGAGACCAGAGAGAGAGACCAGAGAGAGACCAGAGGGAGACCAGAGAGAGGCCAGAGAGAGACCAGAGAGAGACCAGAGAGAGACCAGAGGGAGACCGGAGAGAGGCCGGAGAGAGACCAGAGGGAGACCAGAGAGAGGCCAGAGAGAGGCCAGAGAGAGACCAGAGAGAGACCAGAGGGAGACCAGAGAGAGGCCAGAGAGAGGCCAGAGAGAGACCAGAGAGAGGCCAGAGAGAGACCAGAGAGAGACCAGAGAGAGACCATAGAGAGACCAGAGAGAAGCCAGAGGGAAGCCAGAGGGAGACCAGAGAGAGACCAGAGAGAGACCATAGGGAGACCAGAGAGAGACCATAGAGAGACCAGAGAGAAGCCAGAGGGAAGCCAGAGGGAGACCAGAGAGAGACCAGAGGGAGGTCAGATAGAGACCAGAGGGAGACCAGAGAGAGGCCAGATAGAGACCAGAGGGAGACCAGAGGGAGACCAGAGAGAGACCAGAGAGAGACCAGAGAGAGACCACAGTTTGTGCCTGAACACAAGGCTACACCTTCTCCCTCTTGGTGTTCAGTGACAGACGTAGGACTCTCTCTCTGGTCTCACTCTCCCCCCCTCCCCTCTCTCTCTCTCTCCCCCCCCTCTCTCTAATCAGACGTTTGACCCTGAGTCAATAAAACCATATATTAGGGCTCTTAAACGTGATAGCGCCGAGAGGACCAGCCAAGTCCACAGAAGGCTTTGAGAAGCTGGCTAGCCCCCTCCTGAACCCCCCTGCACCCCCACACGGAGCAGGAGCCAAAGAGCTGGGTCTGATAAGAGAAAGCCCGGAGCCAGAGCAGAACCTGAGCTGCATGAGAGAAGGAGAGAGACTGTCTGAGAGAAGGAGAGAGACTGTCTGAGAGAAGGAGAGAGACTGTCTGAGAGAAGGAGAGAGACTGTGAGAAGAAGAGAGACTGTGAGAGAAGAAGAGAGACTGTCTGAGAGAAGGAGAGAGACTGAGAGAAGGAGAGAGACTGTCTGAGAGAAGGAGAGAGACTGTCTGAGAAAAGGAGACTGTCTGAGAGAAGGAGAGAGACTGTCTGAGAGAAGAAAAGAGACTGTCTGAGAGAAGGAGAGAGACTGTCTGAGAGAAGGAGAGAGACTGTCTGAGAGAAGGAGAGAGACTGTCTGAGAGAAGAAAAGAGACTGTCTGAGAGAAGGAGAGAGACTGTCTGAGAGAAGAAGAGAGACTGTCTGAGAGAAGGAGAGAGACTGAGAAAAGGAGACTGTCTGAGAAAAGAAAAGAGACTGTCTGAGAAAAGGAGAGAGACTGTCTAAGAAAAGGAGAGAGACTGTCTGAGAGAAGGAGAGAGACTGTCTGAGAAAAGGAGACTGTCTGAGAGAAGAAGAGAGCTCATTACTGTTGAACCAGAACTGTTGGAGAAGCAGAAGGATTATCTTCTATTCTTCTTTAACCACTATTTTGTTTTAACAAGAGAGACCAGAAAGAGAAGAGACCAGAGAGAGAGAGAGAGACCAGAGGGACCCAGAGAGAGAGAGAGACCAGGGTGCGCTCTGAAAGTGTCACTTGTAAACTACAATCAGCTCTGTAAATATGAGCTGCTCATTAACATGAGTGAGCGCAGCACAGAAGCAGAGTCAGATTCCAGGGTTTCTCTCATTTCCTCTGAAACCAAGACTGTGTCAGAGCCAAAGGATATTACCTTTCATTTTATTAATAAATGTTACCCACACTTAGCCTACGACAAAGTCAATCTGTGGTGATGGCTCAGAGGCTGGAGCCTCAGTCCTGGGTCTACAGGCTCAGTCCTGGGTCTACAGGCTCAGTCCTGGGTCTAGAGCCTCAGTCCTGGGTCTACAGCCTCAGTCCTGGGTCTACAGCCTCAGTCCTGGGTCTACAGCCTCAGTCCTGGGTCTACAGCCTCAGTCCTGGGTCTACAGGCTCAGTCCTGGGTCTAGAGCCTCAGTCCTGGGTCTACAGCCTCAGTCCTGGGTCTACAGCCTCAGTCCTGGGTCTACAGCCTCAGTCCTCACTTGTCCCTGGTTCCTCCCCCTGGCACAGGAGACTCTTCCTTGACAGTGGAAACAGCACAGTCCAAAGGTGAGGCATCAGAGTGGGACTGAGTCAGACTGAGGGGGTGTGTGGAAGCCTCTGGGCCAGGTCCAGACCCAGGTCCAGGTCTAGAGAGACCCCAGAGCTGCTGACGGACAGTGGACAGAGGTCTGACCAGTGTTAACAGTGACAGATGGAGAGTCGTGCCACCAAACTATCAACAGCTCTGGTGTTTGGAGCTGTGTGTGTGTGCGTGTGTCTATGTGTGTGTGTCTGTGTGTGTCTGTGTGTGTGTGTGTGTCTGTGTGTGTGTGTGTGTGTGTGTGTGTGTGTGTGTGTGTGTGTGTGTGTGTGTGTGTGTGTGTGTGTGTGTGTGTGTCTCGGAGCAGAGGGCTATGGGCACCTTACAGAGCACTTTACATTTGTTAGATTTGTCTCTGGCTCCACGCAGAGATGGAGCAGTCGTCCACAGGAGACACATGTTGTTAGTGGTAGGGGAAACCGGAGCACCCGGAGGAAACCTATGCAGACACTGGGTGAACATGCAAACTCCACACAGAAAGGAATCAAACCCAGGACCTTCTTGCTGTGAGGCACAAGTGCTAACCACTGCCCCACCGTGCCACCGCTGTAAGTGAGAGGACTTCAGGACAGAGACCTGAGACCAGGACTAATGTGAGAGGACTTCAGGACAGAGACCTGAGACCAGGACTAATGTGAGAGGACTTCAGGACAGAGACCTGAGACCAGGACTAATGTGAGAGGACTTCAGGACAGAGACCTGAGACCAGGACTAATGTGAGAGGACTTCAGGACAGAGACCTGAGACCAGGACTAATGTGAGAGGACTTCAGGACAGAGACCTGAGACCAGGACTAATGTGAGAGGACTTCAGGACAGAGACCTGAGACCAGGACTAATGTGAGAGGACTTCAGGACAGAGACCTGAGACCAGGACTAATGTGAGAGGACTTCAGGACAGAGACCTGAGACCAGGACTAATGTGAGAGGACTTCAGGACAGAGACCTGGGACCAGGACTAATGTGAGAGGACTTCAGGACAGAGACCTGAGACCAGGACTAATGTGAGAGGACTTCAGGACAGAGACCTGAGACCAGGACTAATGTGAAAGGACGTCAGGACAGAGACCTGAGACCAGGACTAATGTGAGAGGACTTCAGGACAGAGACCTGAGACCAGGACTAATGTGAGAGGACTTCAGGACAGAGACCTGAGACCAGGACTAATGTGAGAGGACGTCAGGACAGAGACCTGAGACCAGGACTAATGTGAGAGGACTTCAGGACAGAGACCTGAGACCAGGACTAATGTGAGAGGACTTCAGGACAGAGACCTGAGACCAGGACTAATGTGAGAGGACGTCAGGACAGAGACCGGAGACCAGGACTAATGTGAGAGGACTTCAGGACAGAGACCTGAGACCAGGACTAATGTGAGAGGACTTCAGGACAGAGACCTGAGACCAGGACTAATGTGAGAGGACTTCAGGACAGAGACCGGAGACCAGGACTAATGTGAGAGGACTTCAGGACAGAGACCGGAGACCAGGACTAATGTGAGAGGACTTCAGGACAGAGACCTGAGACCAGGACTAATGTGAGAGGACTTCAGGACAGAGACCTGAGACCAGGACTAATGTGAGAGGACTTCAGGACAGAGACCTGAGACCAGGACTAATGTGAGAGGACTTCAGGACAGAGACCAGAGACCAGGACTAATGTGAGAGGACTTCCTGGTTCTAGTCAGGACTGCCTGAAGCAGAAAAGATGTGACAGAATCACATGACGTGAAACTAGTGAATAATTAGTTTATGACAGTTCCATGTTTAGTGTTTTACTCAAGCCTTGGGGAAATATTTGTTCTTTAAATTTTCGCAAAAACATTTTTGTACCAAGACCTTTATAAAAATGGATTTCTCTGTGATCTGCTGCAGTCGTAGTTTCCATGATTCAACAGGAGAAAAAAAAGAGTTTGATGGAAGAGAGCGATTGATGAAGAAACGCAGAAACTGAGCAGATCTCACACAAAGCGTTGGGTCGTGGTCGTCATGGTAACGAGGAGGCGATGAGGAGGTCGCGCTGGTCAAGAACAGGGCTTTCTCGCTCTCTCGCTGTGGTCAATTAGCCGGCGGTAAGTCGATCCAGTCCTCCCCGGCCCTCCCTGATCCGTTCCATATGCCACGAATGCCCTTGATTGTTATTGTTGGGTTGGCTCGCGCTCGCTACGATGACGAGGCCCATATCTCGCCATCGCCGCGGCAACACATGGCAGACGGCGAGAGTATGTGATGACAAATGCATCACACCTCATCGCGTCTACAGCACAGATCTGGATCTGCTGCAGGCCTAATGGAAACGGGAGCGCCATCCAGGGAGCTGTCAGCACACAGGAGGGACGTGAGACGCTAGTAGATAAGAGAGCTAATGAGACGCTAGCAGATAAGAGAGCTAATGAGACGCTAGCAGATAAGAGAGCTAAGGAGACGCTAGCAGATAAGAGAGCTAACGAGACGCTAGCAGATAAGAGAGCTAACGAGACGCTAGCAGATAAGAGAGCTAACGAGACGCTAGCAGATAAGAGAGCTAACGAGACGCTAGCAGATAAGAGAGCTAACGAGACGCTAGCAGATAAGAGAGCTAACGAGACGCTAGCAGATAAGAGAGCTAACGAGACGCTAGCAGATAAGAGAGCTAACGAGACGCTAGCAGATAAGAGAGCTAACGAGACGCTAGCAGATAAGAGAGCTAACGAGACGCTAGCAGATAAGAGAGCTAACGAGACGCTAGCAGATAAGAGAGCTAACGAGACGCTAGCAGATAAGAGAGCTAACGAGACGCTAGCAGATAAGAGAGCTAACGAGACGCTAGCAGATAAGAGAGCTAACGAGACCCTCAGGACTCTGGGTCTGAAGGAGAGAGACCCTCAGGACTCTGGGTCTGAAGGAGAGAGACCCTCAGGACTCTGGGTCTGAAGGAGAGAGACCCTCAGGACTCTGGGTCTGAAGGAGAGACACCCTCAGCACTCTGGGTCTGAAGGAGAGAGACCCTCAGCACTCTGGGTCTGAAAGAGATCAGCACTCTGGGCTGAAGGAGAGAGACCCTCAGGACTCTGGGCTGAAGGAGAGAGACCCTCAGGACTCTTGGCTGAAGGAGAGAGACCCTCAGGACTCTGGGTCTGAAGGAGAGAGACCCTCAGGACTCTGGGTCTGAAGGAGAGAGACCCTCAGGACTCTGGGTCTGAAGGAGAGAGACCCTCAGGACTCTGGGTCTGAAGGAGAGAGACCCTCAGGACTCTGGGTCTGAAGGAGAGAGACCCTCAGGACTCTGGGTCTGAAGGAGAGAGACCCTCAGGACTCTGGGTCTGAAGGAGAGAGACCCTCAGGACTCTGGGTCTGAAGGAGAGAGACCCTCAGGACTCTGGGCTGAAGGAGAGAGACCCTCAGGACTCTGGGTCTGAAGGAGAGAGACCCTCAGGACTCTGGGTCTGAAGGAGAGAGACCCTCAGGACTCTGGGTCTGAAGGAGAGAGACCCTCAGGACTCTGGGTCTGAAGGAGAAAGACCCTCAGGACTCTGGGTCTGAAGGAGAGAGACCCTCAGGACTCTGGGTCTGAAGGAGAGAGACCCTCAGGACTCTGGGTCTGAAGGAGAGAGACCCTCAGGACTCTGGGTCTGAAGGAGAGAGACCCTCAGGACTCTGGGTCTGAAGGAGAGAGACCCTCAGGACTCTGGGTCTGAAGGAGAGAGACCCTCAGGACTCTGGGTCTGAAGGAGAGAGACCCTCAGGACTCTGGGTCTGAAGGAGAGAGACCCTCAGGACTCTGGGTCTGAAGGAGAGAGACCCTCAGGACTCTGGGTCTGAAGGAGAGAGACCCTCAGGACTCTGGGTCTGAAGGAGAGAGACCCTCAGCACTCTGGGTCTGAAGGAGAGAGACCCTCAGGACTCTGGGCTGAAGGAGAGAGACCCTCAGGACTCTGGGCTGAAGGAGAGAGACCCTCAGGACTCTTGGCTGAAGGAGAGAGACCCTCAGGACTCTTGGCTGAAGGAGAGAGACCCTCAGGACTCTGGGCTGAAGGAGAGAGACCCTCAGGACTCTGGGTCTGAAGGAGAGAGACCCTCAGGACTCTGGGTCTGAAGGAGAGAGACCCTCAGGACTCTGGGTCTGAAGGAGAGAGACCCTCAGGACTCTGGGTCTGAAGGAGAGAGACCCTCAGGACTCTGGGTCTGAAGGAGAGAGACCCTCAGGACTCTGGGTCTGAAGGAGAGAGACCCTCAGGACTCTGGGTCTGAAGGAGAGAGACCCTCAGGACTCTGGGTCTGAAGGAGAGAGACCCTCAGGACTCTGGGTCTGAAGGAGAGAGACCCTCAGGACTCTGGGTCTGAAGGAGAGAGACCCTCAGGACTCTGGGTCTGAAGGAGAGAGACCCTCAGGACTCTGGGTCTGAAGGAGAGAGACCCTCAGGACTCTGGGTCTGAAGGAGAGAGACCCTCAGGACTCTGGGTCTGAAGGAGAGAGACCCTCAGGACTCTGGGTCTGAAGGAGAGAGACCCTCAGGACTCTGGGTCTGAAGGAGAGAGACCCTCAGGACTCTGGGTCTGAAGGAGAGAGACCCTCAGGACTCTGGGTCTGAAGGAGAGAGACCCTCAGGACTCTGGGTCTGAAGGAGAGAGACCCTCAGGACTCTGGGTCTGAAGGAGAGAGACCCTCAGGACTCTGGGCTGAAGGAGAGAGACCCTCAGGACTCTGGGCTGAAGGAGAGAGAGACCTCAGGACTCTGGGTCTGAAGGAGAGAGACCCTCAGGACTCTGGGTCTGAAGGAGAGAGACCTCAGGGACCGGTCTGGGAAGAGAGACCCTCAGGACTCTGGGTCTGAAGGAGAGAGACCCTCAGGACTCTGGGTCTGAAGGAGAGAGACCCTCAGGACTCTGGGTCTGAAGGAGAGAGACCCTCAGGACTCTGGGTCTGAGGAGAGAGAGGACCCTCAGGACTCTGGGTCTGAAGGAGAGAGACCCTCAGGACTCTGGGTCTGAAGGAGAGAGACCCTCAGGACTCTGGGTCTGAAGGAGAGAGACCCTCAGGACTCTGGGTCTGAAGGAGAGAGACCCTCAGGACTCTGGGTCTGAAGGAGAGAGACCCTCAGCACTCTGGGTCTGAAGGAGAGAGACCCTCAGGACTCTGGGTCTGAAGGAGAGAGACCCTCAGGACTCTGGGTCTGAAGGAGAGAGACCCTCAGGACTCTGAGCTGAACAGGTCTGTTGTGGATCGATGATGTCATACAGTAAAGAACAACCACATGTTTGTTTCTCTCTGACAGACGTGTGTAGGTGTGTGTCACCTGTAATGTGTGTGGGGGCGGGGAAGATGGAAGGAGGAGGGCCTTTAGACTCCCCCTTCTCACCCTTTGGACTCTCCCTTTCCTCACCCCTGCCTCACCCCCACACTCACATGCACTTGTTGATTACAGTTGCCAGGTCAAGAGCAGGGTTAAAGCAATAACATGAAATGAGAGTTTTTTGGCTCCAGCTGGAATGAGGAAGATGAAGAGAGGGGGAGAGAGGGGGAGAGGGGGAGAGATTCGGTGAGGTGGATGGGTCGTCAGAGTTGCAGACCAGCTCCAGACGTCTACATGAAGGTGAGCACAGTTACATGTGGACAGAACCTTTACGTTTGGTTAGAGATAATTGTGTGGGAGAGAAAACTGCTCTTTCTCACGTCCAAGTTCATTTAGGAAGCATCGTGGGAAGCAGGCGCTAAGAGGACAAACAATGGGGACATTCAGGGAGAGGGGGGAGGGGGGGGGGGTGGGGTGATTGGACTGGGGGAGAGGGGAGAGAGGGTCCTGGAGGAAAGGGTGATTGGACTGGGGAGAGACTGGATGAAGCTGGGGGAGAGAAGGGGAGAGTTGAGGGAGACTGAGAGGAAGTGGAAGGGGAGGGTCTCTGGTCTCTAACAGATAGATGCAGATTTAGTGCTGATGTTCCAGGACTAATGGGAGAGCAGACTGGAACCATAGACAAACTGTGGACCATCAGTCCACACTGGTGCCATGGACCATCAGTCCACACTGGTGCCATGGACCATCAGTCCACACTGGTGCCATGGACCATCAGTCCACACTGGTGCCATGTCGACAGAAGCAGATGTCGTTAGTGAGACACTGGCAAACACTGTGTGGTTAGACTTTCCATTGGCTTCTGCAACACAATCCAGTGTCAGCAGAGGAGAGGAGAGAGGGGGAGAGGGGGGAGAGGGGGGTGAGGAGAGAGGAGAGAGAGGAGAAAGAGAAGAGAAAGGAGAATGGACGGAGTAATAAGAATGACTCATGGATCCTTAGTGCTCAGTTTGGCCCGAACATGATCTGGACAATATTTACTTTTTGCTAAAATGTATAAATAAGTTATTTTGTCCACAAACACATTTCTGCTACCAGAGCTAATATCAGAGCAATACAATGTTATGTATTCTCTTATGGTTTCTCTGCCGCTGGTTTCTCTGAGTCCTGACGATGGACCTGGCATCGTCTGAATGGACCGGACTTCTGGATTTACGATCACAGTCCACAACATCACAGCAATTATAGGAAACACATGGAGGAAAGTTTGAACCACATTAATGAACAAATGAGAGAAACGACCGAAAGACTCCAAACAGAGAACTTCCTGTTTCTATCATCGTCATCGGCCAATACCTTAGGCTTTGGTTTATTTACATGAAACACAGGCAGCTCTGGTCTCTCTCTCTGGTCTCTCTCTCTGGTCTCTCTCTCTCTGGTCTCTCTCTCTCTGGTCTCTCTCTCTCTGGTCTCTCTCTCTGGTCTCTCTCTCTGGTCTCTCTCTCTCTGGTCTCTCTCTCTCTGGTCTCTCTCTCACTGGTCTCTCTCTCTGGTCTCTCTCTCTCTGGTCTCTCTCTCTCTGGTCTCTCTCTCTCTGGTCTCTCTCTCTGGTCTCTCTCTCTGGTCGCTCTCACTGGTCTCTCTCTGGTCTCTCTCTCTGGTCTCTCTCTCTCTGGTCTCTCTCTCTCTGGTCTCTCTCTCTCTGGTCTCTCTCTCTCTGGTCTCTCTCTCTCTGGTCTCTCTCTCACTGGTCTCTCTCTCTGGTCTCTCTCACTGGTCACCCTCTCTGGTCTCCCTCTCTGGTCACCCTCTCTGGTCGCCCTCTCTGGTCTCTCTCTTTCTCCCCCCTCTCCCCTCTCCTCCCTCAGCTAGCATACAGCAGTACAAGGCGGAGAACGCATTAGCTTTGATGCAGCTGCAGTCTTCCCACAGAGTAGACTATGGGCTGCAGATTTACTTACAGGAAGTTGTAATCTCTTAAAAGCATTACGACGATCATAAATCCACACCACGCATTACACACAGAACAACAGGACCACGGTGATGTCCCGAGCAGATGGAGAGGTAGTGTCAGTGATGGGCCATTAGGGGGAGGGGGGGAGGAGGGGTGAGGAAGATGAGGTGTGTAATGTAAATACCGCTGTGAGCAGAGATTGAAAAGTCCACGAGACGCAAAAGGGATTTTTCAAAGTGAGAAAAATGCCAAGAATGATTTAAAAAGAGTAAGAAAAGAAAGAATCTGGTAAAAGCTCCGTCCTCTTTCTCAGTCCTGGGTCTATCCTGGGTCTACAGCCTCAGTCCTGGGTCTATCCTGGGTCTACGGCCTCAGATCTGGGTCTACGGCCTCAGTCCTGGGTTTTACAGCCTCGGTCTTGGATCTACAGCCTCGGTCCTGGGTCTACAGCCTCGGTCCTGGATCTACAGCCTCGGTCTTGGGTCTACAGCCTCGGTCCTGGGTTTTACAGCCTCAGTCCTGGATCTACAGCCTCAGTCCTGGGTCTACAGCCTCGGTCCTGGGTTTTACAGCCTCAGTCCTGGATCTACAGCCTCAGTCCTGGGTCTACAGCCTCAGTCCTGGGTCTACAGCCTCAGTCCTGGGTCTACAGCCTCAGTCCTGGGTCTACAGCCTCAGTCCTGGGTCTACAGCCTCAGTCCTGGGTCTACAGCCTCAGTCCTGGGTTTTACAGCCTCGGTCCTGGATCTACAGCCTCGGTCTTTGGTCTACAGCCTTAGTACTGCTCCCTATGGACTAATGTCTCTTTATATTTGATATTATTGCATTCTCTGTTTGATTCTCTGATCTGTTGTTGGAGAACCCACAACTTAGTGAAGTCCCTGGAGACGACTTCTGTCATGAATGGATTAGAATCAGTTCCTGTCAGTAGCTCTCTCTCTCTCTCTCTCTCGTGTCTGTGGCCTCACTTCTCACTGCCTCAGATTGCTTACAGATGACTTATTCCATGTTTGGCTGGCCCTTGCTCCCCCTGCCTCCCCCCCTCCCTCAGTGGACCCATATTTCTGGCCGGGGGACTGGCCGCTGGGGTGATGTGTGTCTTATTAGCGAGGCTTTATCACCACAGGCCACGCGCTGCTCGGCCTCCTGCTCCGAGCCGGACACTCGATCCAAAACAACACATTCCTCCAAAAACTACTCGACTCCAAACTTAATTATGTCATTGTCCTGACGCAGAGTAAATCAGAGGCTTTGGAAGAGACTGAACACATCCTCCTCTTTATGGAGATCACAGGTCCTGCACTAACCCAGTGATCAATAAAGTATCTCACTGTAAAAACTGATCCAACATGAGGTGTCTGTGTTATTAATGTGATTTAAATGTTATAATGGATTTAATTACAAGTGTGATTCAACAGAGATTGATAATGAATCCAACGTTTTTATCTTAATCTGACACATTCTGATTGTGTTAAAACCAGATTCTCCAAAGGGACAAAGACATAGTTTTACTTAAAGAACTGTCGCTTTATTTTCTCATTCCAAAGGAGACATTTCTTGTTTCTTGTTTCAAAATCATCATTTTGTTTGGTCCCATTGGAGAATCTGGTTTAAGGCTCAGTCAGAATGAGCTCAGATTAAGACACATTTTTTATTTCTGTTTCCTCAGTTTTTGCCGAACCTCTGTAGACCACAGAGGCCACAGACCCTAAACCAAACCCTAATCATCAGTGTAGACAGGACTTGAGACTGAGGACTGGACCAAAACTTCCCTATGTCCATCCTTCCATTGTCTTCCCCTTAATCCATTTCTGGGTCGGGGGGTGGCAGTCAGAGCACCAGCCCCTCACTGATCCTCCTGCAGGTGCTGAGTCCACAGGAGCTGAGATCTTTCCGTGGGAGCTTCAGGCAAAGTGGGGTTAAGTGTCTTGCCCAAGGACACAACGACAGCAATCATCATTATCCCTATGTATAAATATAAAAAGTTCATTATGTTCTCTTTTAAATGTACGGCTTAGAAGGCAGAAGTCTACCACAGAAACAGCAGTACGAACTTCTTTACACCTGTGTCGTATTAAAAGAATCTTCTAAACCTCCCCCATTCCTGACATGTTATTGGAAAGGGAAGAATATCCTGTAAAAACACCAGATCGTAGCTGTCTGTTGCTAATGTCCATCTGTCTCACATTCATTCATTCAACCCACAACTATTGCACATGATTTTAGTAGCGGAAACTGGAGCACCTGGAGGAAACCTACACAGACATGGGGAGAACATGCAAACAGAGAAAGGCCTGTCTGGAGGTGGAATGAAACCCAATGCAAACCCCCTTCATTGAGCTAGCGTATTAGCATTGTCCCTCTATACACAGTCTATAGTCTCTGCTCAGACGGCTGCCTCCGAGACCCGGCCACAGATAAAGCAGCAGACAATGGAAAGTGGGACTAAAGTTATATTTGTAAAGTGTGGTGTGGGTGTAATACGACTGCTGTGATGTCACGCTAATAAAAATGTTAGTAATTAATCAGAGATCGGCTTCAGCCAAACGCATGAGTCACGAGTCTCGATCTCAGACGATTCATGGATCAGAGTTTTACAGCGTTGTGATGTCACCGCTCAGTCCGATTGTGAAGCTGGGACTATAGTATGTGCTGTATGTGTGCTGCAACACAGGTCTGTATGTATACTGAGACAGATCTGTATACTGAGACAGAGGTATGTATACTGAGACAGAGGTCTGTATACTGAGACAGAGGTCTGTATACTGAGACAGAGGTCTGTATGTGTGCTGCAACACAGGTATGTATGTATACTGAGACAGAGGTATGTATACTGAGACAGAGGTCTGTATGTGTGCTGCAACACAGGTATGTATGTATACTGAGACAGAGGTATGTATACTGAGACAGAGGTCTGTATGTGTGCTGCAACACAGGTATGTATGTATACTGAGACAGAGGTATGTATACTGAGACAGAGGTCTGTATGTGTGCTGCAACACAGGTCTGTATGTATACTGAGACAGAGGTATGTATACTGAGACAGAGGTCTATGTGTGCTGCAACACAGGTATGTATGTATACTGAGACAGAGGTATGTATACTGAGACAGAGGTCTGTATGTGTGCTGCAACACAGGTATGTATGTATACTGAGACAGAGGTATGTATACTGAGACAGAGGTATGTATACTGAGACAGAGGTATGTATACTGAGACAGAGGTCTGTATGTATACTGAGACAGGTCTGTATACTGAGACAGAGGTATGTATACTGAGACAGAGGTATGTATGTATACTGAGACAGAGGTCTGTATGTATACTGAGACAGAGGTATGTATACTGAGACAGAGGTATGTATGTATACTGAGACAGAGGTATGTATACTGAGACAGAGGTATGTATACTGAGACAGAGGTATGTATACTGAGACAGGGGTATGTATACTGAGACAGAGGTATGTATACTGAGACAGAGGTCTGTATGTGTGCTGCAACACAGGTCTGTATACTGAGACAGGGGTATGTATACTGAGACAGAGGTCTGTATGTGTGCTGCAACACAGGTCTGTATGTATACTGAGACAGAGGTATGTATACTGAGACAGACGTATGTATGTATACTGAGAGAGGTATGTATACTGAGACAGAGGTATGTATACTGAGACAGAGGTATGTATACTGAGACAGGGGTATGTATACTGAGACAGAGGTCTGTATGTGTGCTGCAACACAGGTCTGTATGTATACTGAGACAGAGGTATGTATACTGAGACAGGTCTGTATGTATACTGAGACAGAGGTATGTATACTTAGACAGAGGTCTGTATACTGAGACAGAGGTCTGTATACTGGGACAGGTCTGTATGTATACTGAGACAGAGGTCTGTATGTATACTGAGACAGAGGTCTGTATGTATACTGAGACAGAGGTCTGTATGTATACTGAGACAGAGGTCTGTATGTATACTGAGACAGAGGTCTGTATGTATACTGAGACAGAGGTCTGTATGTATACTGAGACAGGTCTGTATGTATACTGAGACAGGTCTGTATGTATACTGAGACAGAGGTCTGTATGTATACTGAGACAGAGGTCTGTATGTACACTGAGACAGAGGTCTGTATGTATACTGAGACAGAGGTCTGTATGTATACTGAGACAGAGGTCTGTATGCATACTGAGACAGAGGTATGTATGTTTACTGAGACAGAGGTCTGTATGTTTACTGAGACAGAGGTCTGTATGTATACTGAGACAGAGGTATGTATGTTTACTGAGACAGAAGTCTGTATGTATACTGAGACAGGTCTGTATGTATACTGAGACAGAGGTCTGTATGTATACTGAGACAGAGGTCTGTATGTATACTGAGACAGAGGTCTGTATGTATACTGAGACAGAGGTATGTATGTATACTGAGACAGGTCTGTATGCATACTGAGACAGAGGTATGTATACTGAGACAGAGGTATGTATACTGAGACAGGGGTATGTATACTGAGACAGGGGTATGTATGTATACTGAGACAGGGGTATGTATACTGAGACAGAGGTATGTATACTGAGACAGAGGTCTGTATGTATACTGAGACAGAGGTATGTATACTGAGACAGAGGTATGTATACTGAGACAGGGGTATGTATGTATACTGAGACAGAGGTATGTATACTGAGACAGAGGTATGTATACTGAGACAGAGGTATGTATACTGAGACAGAGGTATGTATACTGAGACAGGGGTATGTATGTATACTGAGACAGAGGTATGTATACTGAGACAGAGGTATGTATACTGGGACAGAGGTATGTATACTGAGACAGAGGTATGTATACTGAGACAGGAGTGTGGTATAAAAACTACCCTTCTCACTCTGCACCTTCAGACTGCTTCAGGGGAGACACCAGGGGAGACACCAGGGGGACACCGTGCCCAGTGTCCACAGCGGTGAGACTCAGGGGACTTTCCTGGCGACATTCCTTCTCGTTTCCGACAATAAAACGTCCAGTTTTACGTCGACAATTAGTTTGTGTAAAAGCAGCGGGCCACAGTCCCACTACACTGTCACTTCTTATTGTCCATAACAGCAGCAGTCCTTTCCCAAAGACTAAGTATAGAGCAGAGAGAGAGACCAGAGAGGGGAGAGAGAGGGTAAGAGAGAGGGCAGAGAGAGGGGAGAGACGAGAGCGAGGGGAGAGAAACGAGAGCGAGGGGAGAGAAACGAGAGCGAGGGGAGAGAAACGAGAGCGAGGGGAGAGAAACAAGAGAGAGAGGGGAAAGAAACTAGAGGTGTCTCCCCTGGTGTACCCCCTGGTGTCGTCTCCCCCTGGTGTCGTCTCCCCCTGGTGTCGTCTCCCCCTGGTGTCGTTATTTACAGTGCCTTGCCAAAGTATTCGGCCCCCTTGAACCTGTCAACATTTTGCCACATTTCAGGCTTCAAACATAAAGATATAAAAATAAAATTTTTTGTCAAGAATCAACAACAAGTGGGACACAATCGTGAAGTGGAATGAAATTTATTGGATAATTTAAACTTTTTTAACAAATAAAAAACTGAAAAGTGGGGCGTGCAATATTATTCGGCCCCTTGCGCTAATACTTTGTAGCGCCACCTTTTGCTGCAATTACAGCTGCAAGTCGCTTGGGGTATGTCTCTATCAGTTTTGCACATCGAGAGACTGGAATTCTTTCCCATTCTTCCTTGCAAAACAGCTCGAGCTCAGTGAGGTTGGATGGAGAGCGTTTGTGAACAGCAGTCTTCAGCTCTTTCCACAGATTCTCGATTGGATTCAGGTCTGGACTTTGACTTGGCCATTCTAACACCTGGATACGTCTATTTGTGAACCATTCCATCGTAGATTTGGCTTTATGTTTTGGATCATTGTCCTGTTGGAAGATAAATCTCCGTCCCAGTCTCAGGTCTTTTGCAGACTCCAACAGGTTTTCTTCCAGAATGGTCCTGTATTTGGCTCCATACATCTTCCCATCAATTTTAGCCATCTTCCCTGTCCCTGCTGAAGAAAAGCAGGCCCAAAGCATGATGCTGCCACCACCATGTTTGACAGTGGGGATGGTGAGTTCAGGGTGATGAGCTGTGTTGCTTTTACGCCAAACATATCGTTTTGCATTGTGGCCAAAAAGTTAGATTTTGGTTTCATCTGACCAGAGCACCTTCTTCCACATGTTTGGTGTGTCTCCCAGGTGGCTTGTGGCAAACTTTAAACCAGACTTTTTATGGATATCTTTGAGAAATGGCTTTCTTCTTGCCACTCATCCATAAAGGCCAGATTTGTGCAGTGCACGACTGATTGTTGTCCTATGGACAGACTCTCCCACCTCAGCTGTAGTTATCTGCAGTTCATCCAGAGTGATCATGGGCCTCTTGGCTGCATCTCTGATCAGTCTTCTCCTTGTTTGAGATGAAAGTTTGGAGGGACGGCCGGGTCTTGGTAGATTTGCAGTGGTCTGATACTCCTTCCATTTCAATATAATTGCTTGCACAGTGCTCCTTGAGATGTTTAAAGCTTGGGAAATCTTTTTGTATCCAAATCCGGCTTTAAACTTGTCCACAACAGTATCTCGGACCTGCCTGGTGTGTTCCTTTGTCTTCATGGTTCTCTCTGTGCTTTAAACAGAACCCTGAGACTATCAAAGAGCAGGTGCATTTATACGGAGACTTGATTACACACAGGTGCATTCTATTTATCATCATCAGTCATTTAGGACAACATTGGATCATTCAAAGATCCTCACTGAACTTCTGGACTGAGTTTGCTGCACTGAAAGTAAAGGGGCCCAATAATATTGCACGCCCCACTTTTCAGTTTTTTATTTGTAAAAAAAAGTTTTAATTATCCAATACATTTTGTTCCACTTCACGATTGTGTCCCACTTGTTGTTGATTCATGACAAAAAATTAAAATGTTATATCTTTATGTTTGAAGCCTGAAATGTGGCAAAATGTTGAAAGGTTCAAGGGGGCCGAATACTTTCGCAAGGCACTGTATATACCGCCTTTTCACTGCGGAGTCTCAAAGCGGGCCAGTACAGGAGGTGCATGCCAGACCTATTGTACATATTTTTAGTGGTAGGGGAAACCGGAGCACCCGGAGGAAACCTACGCAAACACGGGGAGAACATGCAAACTCCACTCAGAAAGGCCCTGGTCCAACCGGGATTCGAACCCAGGACCTTCTTGCTGAGAGGCGAGAGTGCTATCCACTCAGCCACCGTGCCGCCCAAAATGGTGTTGTCTCTCCCTGGTGCCTCTCCCTGGTGCCTCTCCCCGGTGCCATCCCTGGTGCCTCCCCTGGTGTCTCCCCTGGTGTCTCCCCTGGTGTCTCCCCTGGTGTCTCCCCTGGTGTCTCCCCTGGTGTCTCCCCTGGTGTCTCCCCTGACCTCAGATTGAGTGTTAAACCTGTGAAGCCAAATAAACAGCTGCCTCCATCTGCACATTAACACTGGGATCCACCATCTCACACCTCATTAACCTCCTGGAACCAGAACCAAACTCACGGCACCAAACCCAGCTTCATAAAACCTCAGTCCAGTCCCAGTCCCAGCCCCAGTCCAGCCTCGGTCCAGTCCCAGTCCAGGCTCTGAGACCACCAGCCCCAGTAGAAGTCACATTGTGTTTTGAGAGTCCTAGCAAACGTAAGCTACAGTGTCTTTTTGGAGATTTTTCCAGACTGTAAAACTCAACTGAAATCAGGCTGTTCTGAGCTTTAACAAAGGTGTGAAGCTGGAGCTGAAGTTGGTTGAATGACAAAGGTTAACCATCTCACCAGCTACATTTACACCACTCATAACTCATTTGAAATCAGCTGATTCCCATCAAAATCCATCAAGGCATCATGTCGTAAACATATCCTAACAGGTGCTAACTAGCGCATTAGCATTAGCATCAACTTCCTGTGAAAGTGATGTTCTCTGCACTTACAGAATAAACATAGACAAGCTCATGTAAATATATCTCATATATTATATCTATATATATATATATAAAGAAACCGTATCTGCCATAGTGTTGTATGTTTACTATATAATTAAAGTCTATTTCCATTTACAATTTCTCAACTTGAAATGAAGTAAAAACATGAATGAATTCAGTTACACCTGGTATGTCTTAGGGTTAGGGTCAGGTTTGGGCTAGGGTCAGGTTTGGGCTGAAACTAAGAGATCAGAGTGGACGAAGATAAAAATAACCCCAGGTCTTTGATGTCAGAACATTGTTGTAACATAACCTGCAGCTTCGAACACGCGACAAACGGGCAGCGACCCAAAAGTAAAGACTGGAGGTGAACTGTGGCGTCCCACAAGGGTGTGTCCTGGGGCCGAGCCAGAGCAGTGGTCAGGCCTCCGACCGCGGACAGGGAATAGAACAGGAAGTGTCCGGTGGAGATCAAAGCAGCAGGAGAGAGTGGGCTGATGACAGGAGGGAGGGGGAGGGAGGGAGGGGGGAGGCTGAGGTCACGGCAGAAAACGTTAGACGATAGAAATGACGGCTGCGGTAAACTGAAAACAATCACAGAGACAACGGAAGAATGTGAGGAATGACTATAAATACTGCTCACTTTTTTGTCCATTTTTTTCTATTTTTGTTAAAATGAACTAAACTTAAGAAGTAATATTTAAGTGACACTCTGCACTTCACACATTTAACAACAGAAGTGAGAGGCCGAACTCTCCCACCGTCACTAACCTTCACAGCTAATATACATCATTTTAGTGGTAAAGGAAACCGGAGCACCTGGAGGAAACTATAAAATTATCACATGTATTTCTCCACAGACTTCATAGTCCCTCTGGACCTGGCCTCTCTGAGGAACTGGTCTCTCTGGACCTGGTCTCCGAGGACCTGGTCTCCGAGGACCTGGTCTCCGAGGACCTGGTCTCCGAGGACCTGGTCTCTCTGGTCCTGGCCTCTCTGGTCCTGGCCTCTCTGGTCCTGGCCTCTCTGGTCCTGGCCTCTCTGGTCCTGGCCTCTCTGGTCCTGGCCTCTCTGGGTCCTGGCCTCTCTGGTCCTGGCCTCTCTGGTCCTGGCCTCTCTGGTCCTGGCCTCTCTGGTCCTGGCCTCTCTGGTCCTGGCCTCTCTGGTCCTGGCCTCTCTGGTCCTGGCCTCTCTGGTCCTGGCCTCTCTGGTCCTGGCCTCTCTGGTCCTGGCCTCTCTGGTCCTGGCCTCTGTAGTCTCTTGTCCTGATCCCTCTGTAGACCTGGTCCCTCTCTGGTCCTGGTCTCTGTGGTCTCTGGTCCTGGTCCCTCTTTAGACCTGGTCCCTCCCTGGTCCCAGTCTCTGTGGCCGCAGTGGGAGCAGGTCAGATGGAGGAGAATGTGTGGAATGGCTGCAGCTCAGACAGACGCAGAGACGACATCCCAGAATACTCCCCACCACAGGAGGTGCTCCAAGGTCTGAGGGTCCGAGACCACAGAGACCACAGAGGAAATACCTCCATCGCACGTCAGGACCTCGGACAGAGGCGGAGCAGTGACATCACCACAGTCCTACAGAACCATTTACTAACACAGACCTGAGGCGCTTTTTAGCCAAATGCTCTTTAGGCAGCACTGACTCTCACAGGGACACGGAGCTCCCATCACAGAGTCAGAGCAGACATCATAGAGTCACAACACACGTCATAGAGTCACAACAGACGTCATAGAGTCACAACACACGTCATAGAGTCACAACAGACGTCATAGAGTCACAGCAGACATCATAGAGTCACAACAGACGTCATAGAGTCACAGCAGACATCATAGAGTCACAACACACGTCATAGAGTCACAACAGACGTCATAGAGTCACAACAGACGTCATAGAGTCACAACAGACGTCATAGAGTCACAACAGACGTCATAGAGTCACAGCAGACATCATAGAGTCACAACAGACGTCATAGAGTCACAACAGACGTCATAGAGTCACAGCAGACATCATAGAGTCACAACAGACGTCATAGAGTCACAGCAGACATCATAGAGTCACAACAGACGTCATAGAGTCACAACAGACGTCATAGAGTCACAGCAGACATCATAGAGTCACAACAGACGTCATAGAGTCACAACAGACGTCATAGAGTCACAGCAGACATCATAGAGTCACAACAGACGTCATAGAGTCACAGCAGACATCATAGAGTCACAGCAGACATCATAGAGTCACAGCAGACATCATAGAGTCAAAACAGACATCATAGAGTCACAACAGACATCATAGAGTCACAGCAGACATCATAGAGTCACAGCAGACATCATAGAGTCAAAACAGACATCATAGAGTCAAAACAGACATCATAGAGTCACAGCAGACGTCATAGAGTCACAACAGACATCAGAGTCACAACAGACATCATAGAGTCAAAACAGACATCATAGTCACAACAGACATCAGAGTCACAACAGACATCATAGAGTCACAGCAGACGTCATAGAGTCACAGCAGACATCATAGAGTCACAACAGACATCAGAGTCACAACAGACATCATAGAGTCAAAACAGACATCATAGTCACAACAGACATCAGAGTCACAACAGACATCATAGAGTCACAGCAGACGTCATAGAGTCACAGCAGACATCATAGAGTCACAACTAGGGATGTAAATCGGCGACCGGTTAACCGGTGGTTGACCGTCACAGCGTTAACCGGTCAAAGCTGTCGGTTAAAAAAGAGAAAAAGGGGAGAGGGGAGGTCTCTTAATAACGCTATTTTAAGCCCTATTTGCACGGTGTGACGAGCGGGTCTGTATCTAGCTGTATGCGCCCATGTATTATAAACTCCGGGACGACTCTCACGCCGCACGAGCCACATATGCACACACGCACGCGCGCGCACACACACACACACACACTTTCCCCCTCTCCATGCGTAACATCCACACGCATCATCTCTCCCCTCTTTTACCGTCAAAGTTGCACACTGGCGCGGGTCAGAACTACATTGGAGCTTACATTTACACACACACACATATACATACACACACACATACACACACACATACATACACACACACATACCGGTCTGTCGCGCTCCTCTGTGTCACGGAGCCCAAAGGATTCGCGCAAATACGCGGCTCCTTTTGGGAGTCGCGTATTTCCCCTACATGTTTTGCTGTAGGGGAAACATGTTTGTGTTTATGGTCCTCGGGATCAGCTCCACACACATCACTTGTATTTAAACTTTTGTGAAGACCTGTGAGACGCGTCACTCGCTGCTCTGACCATGTGAACGAGCCGTGTTTGCTGCTAGAAAGTTTTGGTATTAACCCGCAGCTCAGCAGAATGGGAAGATTAAAAAAGCAGTTCTCTGTGCGCAAAGGTGCCGGAGCTGTTGCGGGTTTGGGCGCCGCTGTCTTGGCTCTGATCCAGTAGAACGCAGAGCTGCACTTATGAAAAGTACGCGGCTCGAAATGGCTGTTATTTCAAAGAACGTGGACTATTTTAAACTACGCGGTTAACCGGTTTCAACCGGTTAATGAGGCTCGGTGGTCGGTCATGAAAATTCATAGTTTTTTACATCCCTAGTCACAACAGACGTCATAGAGTCACAGCAGACATCATAGAGTCACAGCAGACATCATAGAGTCACAGCAGACATCATAGTCAAAACAGACATCATAGAGTCACAACAGACATCATAGAGTCACAGCAGACATCATAGAGTCACAGCAGACATCATAGAGTCAAAACAGACATCATAGAGTCACAACAGACATCATAGAGTCACAGCAGACATCATAGAGTCACAACAGACATCATAGAGTCAAAACAGACATCATAGAGTCACAGCAGACGTCATAGAGTCACAGCAGACATCATAGAGTCACAACAGACATCAGAGTCACAACAGACATCATAGAGTCAAAACAGACATCATAGTCACAACAGACATCAGAGTCACAACAGACATCATAGAGTCACAGCAGACGTCATAGAGTCACAGCAGACATCATAGAGTCACAACAGACGTCATAGAGTCACAGCAGACATCATAGAGTCACAGCAGACATCATAGAGTCACAGCAGACATCATAGTCAAAACAGACATCATAGAGTCACAACAGACATCATAGAGTCACAGCAGACATCATAGAGTCACAGCAGACATCATAGAGTCACAGCAGACATCATAGAGTCAAAACAGACATCATAGAGTCACAACAGACATCATAGAGTCACAGCAGACATCATAGAGTCACAACAGACATCATAGAGTCAAAACAGACATCATAGAGTCACAGCAGACGTCATAGAGTCACAGCAGACATCATAGAGTCACAACAGACATCAGAGTCACAACAGACATCATAGAGTCAAAACAGACATCATAGTCACAACAGACATCAGAGTCACAACAGACATCATAGAGTCAAAACAGACATCATAGTCACAACAGACATCATAGAGTCACAACTAGGGGTGGGAACCTAAGGGTACCTCAATATACAAAGCTCACGATAACGATTTTATCACGATATGACGATTATTGATATATTGGTCAGAAATATACAATATGCCAATTTATGGCATAAATAAAAGAAAAATTACTCTTTATTTCATGATACATAGAATGGAGATGCGTAATGTAGCCATATATTAAAGGCACACCGTGTAACTCTTGGCCACTAGGGGCGCTAGACCTGCAACTTTCACGTTTAGCGCCCCTAGTGGCCACAAGCAACTCAGCACTGTCGCAAAAGTCAACAAACAGTCAGCCGGTGTCTTTTGAGTGTGTATTCAGACAGCATGCACTGGTGTGTGTGTTCAAACTGTAGAGACATGCCTACAGATATTGAGAGACTCTGCTGTGGTCAGCCTCCAGACCGCTGCATTAGTAATCTACCACACATGGACTTCTATATCCTGGATGAGGGAGTTCTGCGTCTAGCTCGTGCTGCGTGGAATGACATCTTTGCAGTCGATGACATCCAGGAACCAGGTGAAGAGCAGCGCTCATACAGACATGCAGCTTACAGCACGATCCCTTTCGCGTTTCCTCTTTTTAGCCTCCTCCGAAGGTTTAAAATTTTTCCTTGCCTCAGCCATGACCAGGAGTCGAGCAGGTGAAAAATGAGTAGCAAAAGCCTTAGCTCCATGAGTATATCAGCGCCTGTAGCCGTAAAGCAAGTCTTTCTTCCAAGTCACGTGACCTGGTGGCAGACGGTCCGTCTGCTCGAAACTTACATGGGCGGTATTTCAAGAGGGCAGCCCCGCTCGGAGCATTGCAAGTGTCAAGCGCTGTATATTGGCCCAAGTATTCATATAAAATAACTCATATGTGTCAACTCTTTAGGTCACAAAGTCCGCGGTGTGCCTTTAAGTATTGATACCAATTTTTAAAAAAAGGGTAAAAAATATATATATATATATTCACTTTTTTTTTTTTTTTCAAAATTGATATTGATACTTGGCAAATGCATATCGATAATCAAATCGCGGGAGAAAGTATCGCGATATATCGTCACACCCCTAGTCACAACAGACGTCATAGAGTCACAACAGACGTCATAGAGTCACAACAGACGTCATAGAGTCACAACAGACGTCATAGAGTCACAACAGACATCATAGAGTCAGAGAAAGCAGACATCATAGTCACAACAGACATCAGAGTCAGAGAAAGCAGACATCATAGAGTCACAACAGACATCATAGAGTCACAACAGACATCATAGAGTCACAACAGACATCATAGAGTCAAAACAGACATCATAGAGTCAAAACAGACATCATAGTCACAAAAGACATCAGAGTCACAACAGACATCATAGAGTCACAACAGACATCATAGAGTCACGTCATAGAGTCAGAGAAAGCAGACATACTAGAGTTGCATCATAGAGTATGAGGAAGCAGACATCATAGAGTCATCTTTAAGTCTGTGGATCTTCAGCAGATTCATAACATTTCTGTGACTATCGAGTCTGAAAACATGGAAAGACAATGAGGTCCAACAGTTTCTTTCTCAGGAGTAAAAATAAACGAGATGAAGTCTCTGAGCTCCACATCTGCTCAGCATCAGGACAGTTTGACACCATCGAGGAGGAAAACACTGGTGTCAGAGAAATGGCTTTGATTCTCACAAGAAAATATGGCTCATGTCTGAATGTGTTCCAACGTAGACTCCCAACTGTCTACTCTACTCTACTCACAAATATCCGGGTAAATTCCTTGGTAACCATGTCTTCCAGCAGCACTCTTGCTAATCTCTTGTCAGTTAGAACACTTTAGTACCAGCTTGGCCTGGATAGAACCAGGACCACAGAACCAGGAAACACTCCCAATCAGGAGAGAGTAGAGAAGAGCAGACTAGGGAAGAGCAGACTAGGGTAGAGTAGGGTAGAGTAGAGTAGGGTAGGGTAGGGTAGGGTAGGGTAGAGTAGGATAGAGTAGAGTAGGGTAGGGTAGGGTAGGGTAGGGCAGAGAAGGGTAGAGTAGAGTAGGGTAGGGTAGAGTAGGGTAGGGTAGGGTAGGGTAGAGTAGAGTAGAGTAGAGTAGAGTAGAGTAGAGTAGAGTAGGGTAGGGTAGGGTAGGGCAGAGAAGGGTAGAGTAGAGTAGGGTAGAGTAGGGTAGGGTAGGGTAGGGTAGAGTAGAGTAGAGTAGAGTAGAGTAGGGTAGGGTAGGGTAGATTAGAGTAGAGTAGAGTAGAGTAGGGTAGGGTAGGGTAGGGTAGAGTAGAGTAGAGTAGGGTAGGGTAGGGTAGGGTAGAGTAGAGTAGAGTAGAGTAGGGTAGGGTAGATTAGAGTAGAGTAGAGTAGAGTAGAGTAGAGTAGGGTAGGGTAGAGTAGAGTAGAGTAGAGTAGGGTAGGGTAGGGTAGAGTAGAGTAGAGTAGAGTAGGGTAGAGTAGAGTAGGGTAGAGTAGAGTGATGGTACCAGTGGCTCCTTGTTCTTCACCAGTCGGATGATCTTGACTGAGTCCTCGTCGTCGTCCAGGTCGTCGGGCAGAGGAGGCAGATCCGGCTCGTAATCTTTCTGTGCCACAGAGTCGTGGACGAAGAGAAGACTCTGAAAGAGAGAAGTGTTTAGACCCGCTTCGGTCCTGCTTTAGACCCGCTTTATACCCGCTTTAGACCCGCTTTAGTCCTGCTTTAGACCCGCTTTAGTCCTGCTTTAGACCTGCTTAAGACCCGCTTTAGTCCCGCTTTAGTCCCGCTTTAGTCCCGCTTCAGACACGCTTCAGACCCGCTTTAGGCCTGCTTTAGGCCTGCTTTAGACCTGCTTTAGTCCCGCTTTAGACCTGTTTTAGACCTGCTTTAGACCTGCTTTAGGCCTTTTCTGACATTTGAAATCTCACTTTTAATCCAAACCAAACAGGTCCACATTTCATATCCCGGTCCTAACTTCCCAGACCGTTCTAGCAGAGGGCAGAGCTGGCTCCAGGCCCCACATCTGTCAGAGACACAGAGAAAGCACCGGAGCTGATGAAGAGACACATCAAACCCACAGATCTCATCCTCCTCACACATTTCACACGTCAGCAGCGGCAGACATGAGAAATCTGTGTGTGTGTGTGTGTGTGTCTGTGTGTCTGTGTGTCTGTGTGTGTGTTCGAGGCGTGGGGCGAAGAGGAAGAGAGGACAGACGAGGAGTTTGGTGTTTTACGACAGCATTCGAGATGTGGATAACTCAGAACAGACGAGGAGGCGGGCTGAGGCACGAGCCAAAGGAGATTAAAGGCTAGTCCTGTTCCACTGAGATGTACGAGGGGAACCCGGTGAAGACAAGAGCGCTAACATACCAGGTGGAGATGCAAAGGGACAGTTACCAGAGAGACCAGAGTCAGAAAAAGAGAGAGAGACCAGAGAGAGAAACCAGAGAGAGACCATAGAGAGAGACCAGAGAGAGAGACCAGGGACAGCAAGAGGCCAGAGAGGGACCATAGAGAGAGACCAGAGAGAGAAACCAGAGAGAGACCATAGAGAGAGACCAGATAGAGAGACCAGAGAGAGAAACCAGAGAGAGACCATAGAGAGAGACCAGAGAGAGAGACCAGAGAGAGAGACCAGAGAGAGAGACCAGAGAGGGCCATAGAGAGAGACCAGAGAGAGAGACCAGAGAGGGCCATAGAGAGAGACCAGAGAGAGAAACCAGAGAGAGACCATAGAGAGAGACCAGAGAGAGAGACCAGGGACAGCAAGAGGCCAGAGAGGGACCATAGAGAGAGACCAGAGAGAGAAACCAGAGAGAGACCATAGAGAGAGACCAGATAGAGAGACCAGAGAGAGACCATAGAGAGAGACCAGAGAGAGAGACCAGAGAGAGAGACCAGAGAGGGCCATAGAGAGAGACCAGAGAGAGAGACCAGAGAGGGCCATAGAGAGAGACCAGAGAGAGAAACCAGAGAGAGACCATAGAGAGAGACCAGAGAGAGAGACCAGAGAGAGACCATAGAGAGAGACCAGAGAGAGAGACCAGAGAGGGCCATAGAGAGAGACCAGAGAGAGAGACCAGAGAGGGCCATAGAGAGAGACCAGAGAGAGAAACCAGAGAGAGACCATAGAGAGAGACCAGAGAGAGAGACCAGGGACAGCAAGAGGCCAGAGAGGGACCATAGAGAGAGACCAGAGAGAGAAACCAGAGAGAGACCATAGAGAGAGACCAGATAGAGAGACCAGAGAGAGAAACCAGAGAGAGACCATAGAGAGAGACCAGAGAGAGAGACCAGAGAGAGAGACCAGAGAGGGCCATAGAGAGAGACCAGAGAGAGAGACCAGAGAGAGAAACCAGAGAGGGCCATAGAGAGAGACCAGAGAGAGACCAGGGAGAGCAAGAGGCCAGAGAGAGACCAGAGAGAGAGACCAGGGAGAGAAAAAGAGAGGCAAGAGAGAGAGACCAGAGGAAGGGACCAGAGAGAGAGACCAGAGGAAGGGACCAGAGAGAGACCAGAGAGAAAGAAGAAGTGACAGAGGCCAAAAACAAATGCATGTGAAACTAGACTGAGGCAAACCGTTTCTGGGCCAGGGACAAGTTATATGGATCATTGTTTATTGTTTTGTGGTTTGAAAGTTAGGTACCTCAGCTTTAAGACTTTGAATGACCACATGTAGCAGATGAGAGGGAGACAGATGTAAAACTTGACCAAACCAATATTGTTGCATCACTTCAAAAGCGAGCGATACTGGACGAGGGGAGATACATTTCCTGGATCTGTGAGTCCTGGTCCGTGGTCAGAGCCCTATGGAGTTACTGCGACAGGGCGTCAATCAAAGTCTGTTTGGGTTGTGACAACAGAAGGGTCAGTCAGACTCCACCAGAGACACAGTGGTACAGGAAGGGCCTGGTGTGGGGGAGAGGTGGTGACAGCCCACAGGGGGAGAGGGGGGAGACCAGGGGGGAGAGGGAAAAAATATATCCATTCATATCTGCCCCATGCGTCTGTGAATTCAGAGGAGAATATGGAATGTCTTCACACAAACAGTGTTGTGTAACTGCTGCTGAACATTCTCCTGTGTGTGAACATGTTAGAAGTGTGTGTGTGAGATAGACCAAGAAGAAAGAGACCAGAGAGAAGCTATAGAGACCAGAGAGAGACCAGAGACCAGAGAGAGAGCAGAGAGAGAGCAGACACCAGAGAGAGAGCAGAGAGAGAGCAGAGAGCAGAGAGAGAGCAGAGAGAGAGCAGAGAGAGAGCAGAGAGACCAGAGAGCAGAGAGAGACCAGAGAGAAGCTATAGAGACCAGAGAGAAGCTATAGAGACCAGAGAGAGACCAGAGAGACCAGAGAGAGACCAGAGAGAGAGACCAGAGAGAGACCAGAGAGAGACCAGAGAGAGAGCAGAGAGAGACCAGAGAGAGAGACCAGAGAGAGACCAGAGAGAGACCAGAGAGAGACCAGAGAGAGACCAGAAAGAGACCAGAGAGAAGCTATAGAGACCAGAGAGAGACCAGAGACCAGAGAGAGAGCAGAGAGAGAGCAGACACCAGAGAGAGAGCAGAGAGAGAGCAGAGACCAGAGAGAGAGCAGAGAGAGAGCAGAGACCAGAGAGAGAGCAGAGAGAGAGCAGAGAGAGAGAGCAGAGAGAGAGCAGAGAGAGAGCAGAGAGAGAGTAGAGAGAGAGTAGAGAGAGAGCAGAGAGAGACCAGAGAGAGACCAGAGAGAAGCTATAGAGACCAGAGAGAGACCAGAGACCAGAGAGAGACCAGAGAGAAGCTATAGAGACCAGAGAGAGACCAGAGACCAGAGAGAGACCAGAGAGCAGAGAGAGACCAGAGAGAGACCAGAGACCAGAGAGAGCAGAGAGAGAGCAGAGAGAGACCAGAGAGAGAGACCAGAGAGAGACCAGAAAGAGACCAGAGAGAGACCAGAGAGAGACCAGAGAGAGACCAGAGAGAGGCCAGAGAGAGACCAGAGAGAGACCAGAGAGAGACCAGAAAGAGACCAGAGAGAAGCTATAGAGAC